GCCATCTGGCCCTGGGTTTTTTGGTTGGGAAAATTTAATGACTAACTTTTCTATTTCACTAGGGGTTTCAGGTCTGTTTAAACCGTTGATTGTATCTGATCTTGATTTAACTTTGATAAGTGGTGTCTATCAAGACAATTATCCATTTCTTGTAATTTCCAATTAGTGGATCACAAGTCTTTAAAGTATGTCCTATGGTTCTCGGCATTTCCTCCGTGTGTAATGGTATGTCCTCCCTTCCATCTCTAATTTTCTTTATTTGATTCTTTCTGTGTATTTTAGTTAATTTGGATAAGAGTTTATCAATAGAATTGCTTTCCTCAAAGAACCAGCTCTTTTTTCATTGACCCTGTATTTCTGTTTGTTTGTTTTCTTGTTTTTAGTGTGTTGAGTTTAGGCCTGAGTTTGATTGTTTCTTACTGTGTACTTCAGTGTGATTTTGTTGTTGTTTTTCTAGAGCTTTCAGATGTGCTATGAAGTTGCTAGCATGAGATCCCTCCATTTTTTTTTATGTAGATACTTAGTGCCTCTTAGAAAAGCCTTCATGGTATTCCATAAATGTGGGTAAATTGTGTTTTCATTTTCATTCAATCCTAGAAAGTCTTTCTTTCTTAATTTTTGTCTTGAGTCTTCGCTAAGAGAAATGTTCATTTTCCATGAGTTTGTAAGCTTTCTGTTGTTTTGTTGTTGATGTCTGCTTTATTTAATCTGGGGTGATCAGATAAGAAGCTAGGAGTTATTTCAATTTTCTTTTTGAGATAGGGTTTCTCTGTATGATCCTGGCTGTCCCAGACTCCATCTATAGACCAGACTGGCCTTGAACTCACAGAGCTCTGCCTGCCTCTGCCTTCTGAGTATTGGAATTAAAAGCTTGCACCTCTCTCACCAGCTTATTTCAATTTTCTTGAATTTGTTGAGACTTGCTTTGTGTCGAGTATGTGGTCAGTTCTGGAGAAAGTTCCATGAGGTGCTGAGATGGTGTATTCTTCTGTGTTTGGTTGGAATGTTCTGTAGATGTCTGTTAGGTCCATTTGGTTTACGACTTCAGTTAACTCTTGCATTTCTCTATGTAGTTGTTGTCTGCATGACCTGTCTACTGGCAAGAATCTACTACAGGTGTGTGGGGATGGATGAATATGTGATTTAAGCTGCAGTAGTGATTCTTTTACAAAGTTGGGAGCACTTGTGTTTGGGACACAGATGTAAAGAACTGAAATGTCATCTTCTTAAATTTTTCCTTTGATGAGTATATAGTCTCCTATCTCTTGTTACTAGTCTTGATTTGAGGTCTATTTTGTTAGATATTAAAATGACTACTCCAGCTTGTTTCTTAGATATTCCATTTTCTTGGATTATCTTTTCCCAACCCTGAGTTGATGTCTATCCTTGTTAAGATTTGTTTCTTGGATGCATCAGAAGGATAGATTTTATTTTTTAATCAATTCTGTTAGTCTGTATCCTGTCTTTTTGTTGGAAAATTGACTATTGATATTGAGAGATACCAATGTCCAATGACTATTGTTTCCTGCTATTTTCTTACTGTTACTGCTGCTGATGTGTGTGTGTTTCCCTTTTTTTGACTTTGGTGGTCTGAGATTATTTATTCCCTATGTTTTTCTGTATGTATGATATTGATGTCATTTAATCCAGATATTAATACGTTTTATCCAGATAACCTGTTCATTGATAAGTCACTACTACTGTATTGGGATTAATCTGTGTCTTAACAAAGATTAATCTAGTAGTATTTGTTTTATGAAATTGGGTGTACTTGTGTACAAGGGATATGTGTAGAATCATAATGTTCTCTTAATGAACTGTTTGTTCCCTCAACCATTATGAAGTGTCCTTGTCTTTTTTACTAGCTTTTTAAAAAATGTTTTGTCAGATATTAAAACGGCCACATCTGCCTGTTTCTTCCGTCCATCTGCTTGGAATATCCTTCCCCGCCTGTTCACCCTAAGGTAGTGTGATGGTTGTTGGCTGTCAACTTGACTCCATCTGGAATTAACTAAACCCCAAGTGGCTGCATACACCTGTGAAGGATTTTTCTTGATTGAGCCACTCAAAGTGGGAAGACCCACCCTAACTCTTAAGCCACACCATCTGGAAGCAGCCTATATAAAGGACATGGAAGAAGTAAACTCTCGCAAAGCTGCTTACCCTCACTCTTGCTGGCAAGTCCATTCCTTGGATACCATTAGAATCTTCTTCAGGATTCCAGGAGATGCTGAAGACCAGCTACATCATCCAGTCTGATGAACTGAGCAACTACTGGGTGTGTGTGCACACATGCACACTCATTCGTTCTATTACAGAACCATTACTAATACAGGTAGTATCCATGTTTCATGGTGAGATGCATTCCTTTGGCAACAATATTTTTGGAGGGGGATCCAACCTACTAGTTTATGTCTTGATTGGAAACTGAGACTATTTATATTCAGAGTTACTACTGAGAGGTGTGTATTTGTCAATTTTTGTATGTGCATTTATTTTCATCTTCTCTTGCTTAACCATTTTTGTGGCAGTTTATTTTTCCTGTGTACACATTATACATGGCATATTTAGATCATATTTGTCCCCACATTATCCTCTTATGGCCTTCTCTCTCTCCTGCAAGCCCTCTCCAACCAGACCCCCCTACTAATTTCATGCCATGTGACCCACTGAGTGTGATTCCGGTTTGCAGGAGTGTATGCATCTTACCAGAGAATGCCTTTCCCTCACCCAGCAAAGGCTACCTGCACAGAAATCCTCAGGAGTATCACCGCTGTGAATTCAAGGCTAATTCGGCTTCACAGAAACCATTACTGCCATATGTGTGTGTGTGTGTGTGTGTGTGTGTTTAAAATGGAAATGTCAACATATTAACAGGCCATTTTCATGCAGAAAACAAAAATCATTTCATTCCATAAGTATGTGGATATTAACTTGTATTTAAATGTCATATAGGGTGTCTGAGTCAAAATAAACTATAACGAATCTTATTGTGCTTAAAATTACATCTTTTTTGTGTCACCCTGGGAATTCTATGCAAAGTTGATTCTGACTTGATGCCCATTAGAAAATTTTCTGTCACTTCGCACCTTTTTCCAATAGTGGATTACCAAGTCCTGTTGCTTCTTTGTGTATTCCAAGTGTGGGCCCGTGCTTTGCTTTTTATTCTGCCTTTTGTAGTTCAATAGTCATTGTTTCTGGTAATTTCACTGAAATGAGTTCTTTTTCTGAGATAGGATGTGGGCTCTGTGATACAACTGCCCCTAAGCACTCACGGTTCTTTTGCATCAACCTAAGTCGGAGGCTCTCAAGCAGTGGGCCGTGACCACCAGAGGATGGTCAACCAATCCTTTCACAGGGGTCATTTATAAGCTATTTACATTACAATTCGTAGTAGTAGCAAGATTACAGTTATGGAGTAGCAATAAAGTATTCCATGGTTGGGGTCACCACAGCATAAAAAGCTGCAGTCACAGAATTAGGAAGATTGAGAATCACTGAGCTAAGTGCTGGGATTGTAGGCCTTAGTTAGGAGCCATGGCCATCTTCCCACACTTTAGGATTTTAAGGATAGGGTTCCATGTCAATCAAGCTGGTCTTGAACTCTGTGATCGGAGACGACCTTGATCTCCTGATCATTCTGTTTCTGCCTCCTAAGTATGGCAGGTGTCCATCCTCATGCCCGTTTTTGTTATACATCCCTTTGTGTTTGTTTAAGACTGGGTCTCACTGTGAAGCTGTGGCTTAGAAATTGTGGCTACTCCTACCTCAGCTTCCCACATGCCAGAATTACAGGCCTATGCCATCATGCCTGGCTGGTTTTGCAATACATTCTTACCTAGCAATTTTTCTCTGGGATTATCTTCCCCTGGATGTTCAGCCAGCTGCCTAAGGTCACACAGATGAGGTTTAGACTCAACACAACCACAACCAATCATGAAGAGGCTGTGTATGCTTCCTCAGGACCTTGACAGCGTTGGTTGTGACAAAGAAGCTACCAAGCTTAGAATTTTAGTACCTCACCCTTTGAGAATACATCTGCTAATCCCTGCTCCATTTGACCCTCTGTACTGCAGCTGACACCTCTGATTTCTTGGTTCTCAAACCACAGTGCCTACCCTCAACAGAGAACAGAACATCTCTTGTACCATGGCAGTCACAGGAGGGCTGTGGGGCTGGTGACGGAGATAATACTTTCTCCAGAGTGTGGGCAGAACGGGGTCATGGGAGGGTGTCTACGGTGTGTCTTCTGTTTAAGGGAAAGTAGCCACTATTTCTGCACTTGATTCAAGCCTTGTGGGGTGCTTTCCTCCCTTCTCGGGAAGGTGAGTAGTAACTACTAGCCCCTTCCCATCTTTGGCCACGGCGGGACCAGGCCAAGGTGCAGGAAGCTATGTGTGTGCTTGGCAACATCACAATCACACAATCATGGCAGAGGGTGGGCCTCCTGGAGCACGTGTTTGATCGTTTCTACACCAATGCGTCAGTCTAATAGCAGGAAAGAAGCTTAGCAATAGAGTCCATCGGGCATGGTGGTGTATGGAGTGTATGGACACAGACAGAGGCCAGAGGACACTGAGTGTGAGGCTAGCATGGCTTATACAGGGAGCACTTGTATCCGCTTAAAAGAAAAAAAAATGGAGGCTCTAAAACATATCTGTGGGGGGAGTGTCCACAAAATCCCTACTACTGGGTTAAACGCGAAAGGGGAGGATTCAGGGGTAAAGTCGTGTTACTGATCTAGACGGTGACAGCCCGTCCATTCCTGGCTTGGGCTCACCGTATTCATCCTGGCACCCCTGCTACCAGCACTGCGATGGGTTGGTCTTGTAGGGAACATTTTACATTCCGGAAAGCATGTTGGCTTGTTAATAAAAAAAGTCCCATCAATATACATATTTTCTTAGACCCCCAAATTAAGATCCAAAAAGGTTAAAAAAACACTGCTGTGTCTCCTGGTTATAGTTTGACTATAGCGGAAACCAGAACTGCGCACAGAATTCACCCTGAATCTTTGTCCTTTACTAGCATCCAAAAGTGGCAGAGAGACACTCAGCTTCTGAAGGAAGTGCAGAGAGACAGCATCTGCCTCGACTGTGGTCCCGGTACAGACTGTTCAGCCTACGTGCTGCTCCGGGAGTTACTTTTCGCAGGTCCTGCCACCTTGGGCAGCCTAGTAGCACTGGGCTGGCGTGGCATTCTCTGGATGGGTCCATCACGGCTTCCACGTTCTGCCACTACGGGTACACTACCATGAGTGGGGCCACCTCTGTTTCTTCCTGAAAAGAGATTGAACACAAGAATTAGGATGGGCAGACTCCAGCTGCAACACACTCACCAGTTGGTTTGCTGGGGAATGTGCTCATCCAGCTGCTGAAGCAACCTGTTCCAGCTGCACATGCGTGATTGCTACTCTTGGTTGTCAATTTGACTACACCTGGAATCACCTAAAACCCAAGAGGCCATCACATCGGTAAGGGATTTTCTTAACTGGATGAGCTGATGCGGGAAGACCAGCGCTAGATCCGGGCCACGCCTTCTGGTGGCAGCCCGCAGGAAAGGGCAGGGAAGAAGGAAGCTCTTGTCTTTTGCCCGCTTGTTCTCATTTTCCCTGCTCTGTTGCTGAAGCATTCTCTGCTAGTGTTAGAATCTGCTTCTTTGGGATCCCAGCGTAGACTGAAGACCAGGAGCTGTGTACAACACTGGGACTCTGGCACCGGATTGGAAATGCTAAGCCAGCCAATCTTGTGAACTCAACAACTTCATGATTCTTGGATTTTCTGCTGGACTGTATCACAGACTTCAGCCTGTAAGTCATTCTAATAAACCCCTTTTAAATAGAATAGAATATAGTATTTTAATATATATTTTCATTCAATCAAGTTTGTTCCTTTAAGGAACCCTGACTAATAAAGACTGGCACCAGGACTGGATTTAGAGAGCTAGAATTTTAAGGAAGAACTTTGTAAGGATCTGGGACAGGTTTTCCAACTCACCAACGGCTACAGTTTCTGAAGGCTCTCCCAGTGGCATGAGAACGCTACAAATCCACGGTGTGAAGTATTTAAGCAACTTACACATAAATGCATCTGATTACCCCATTCGCCTATCGTAGGGAACAAGTGTAACTGCACACTAGGTGACAGTGTCTTTACATGTAAAACTGTTGGCAGTTTGTGGAAAAAAATTAGGAAAATAATGATGCTGGCTGGTTGCCTCCAGCATCTTTGGATGAACTGACAAAGTCTAAAGGTTTTTAAGTGTGCCCTGGAAGAGAATCTTCTCTTCAGCAGCCGCAGAGCTGAAGTTGTAGCAAATCAAATTGAGGCCCTAAGACCGGCTGAGTTACAAAGGAAATTCAAGTTCCAGCCTCAGAGGGCGCTGGCGGTTAAAGGGCACTGATTGGTAAGGAATGGGAACCTGGAGCTTAGGAAGCAGGTGTGGGAGAATCCTACTGAGGCAGAAGACTTTGACCCCTCAGAATTTGAATGGTTTCTCTCACTACCCTTAGAGGAAGGTGCGTTCCTACCCCAACCTGTTGTACTGCCTTTGCCACTTTTGTCTAAGGGAATTAAAAGGAATCGGCAATGAAGACCTTCCCTGAAGGCGGTGCCAGAAAGCATAATGCCGACGGCCTCAGGGCCCACCAATAGTTGCCTTGGTACTTAGAACCAGATTTAAAGCTAAGCAGGCTCCTAGAGGGGCCGTAGAGAGTGAAATTGGTGAAGAGGTTGTGTTATACAACTAAAGAGCTTACTAAGTTTGATGACATCCTAGCAGAAGTCTGAGGACTACGTGCCGGCATGGGCTTAAGGGTGGGGATAACCGTGCAAGAAACAGAAAACTTGATCCGGCTCAGTTTATTGACATGGGATCACAGAAGCTCCTGCAGTTTAAGAAAGGTAACAAAGTCAGTTTGGTTGGTTGACTGACATTTGTCAAAAGATGGTCCACTGAAAAGGAGCCCACTATCCCTTGGCTAAGTGTCGATGGAGGGATTTTTAGGCTCAGAGAAATCGCCATGTGAGAGAGGGTACATGTGTAAAGCCAAATTCTTCACGATGGGGAGGCACAGAAGACATGCCCTCCCGTGATGCTAGACCACAAAACCATGAGAGGGCACCAGTACATTTAGAGAGCTCTCTTCTTGCTCTGTCCCTTGAGCCAGACCTTAGGGTTGCTCACTGAATGCATGTGATGGTTTTAACCGGGTCCTGGTGCAGGGGGAACAGGAGACAGCACTGATCCCACAGGGTCAAGTGAGTGGAGGGATTGTAACGGGCAGAACAGACAACGCAACATCCATAATGGCCCGACCTGTAGCAGGCAGTACAGGCAGCTAATTTTATAACTAGGTGGCTCCCATGTACCTTTGGTACTGGCGAATCAGTCACAGTGTTGCCAGGAGTGAAGCCTACTGTACCCTGTTTGACTTGTAGTAGCAGGAAAATAAACAAATGGAAGAAAGGCTACAATGGATGTAGCTACACAGACTCCCAGGCCCTAAGCCAATTTCCAAATGAGCCAAGCTGCAGACCTTCTAGAACTCTTGGAATGAAGGGAAGGCCAGACCCCCCTGAGGAAGGACTTTGCTAACAAACACCTGAGAGTCTTACTGTTAACCTTTCTCCCATCTTTCCCCAGAGCGACCCGAGGCCTTTTAGAAGGCCGGGAAAGGAAACAATCAGACTTTCTGGGATCTACTGGATCCTGATTCAGAACTGACACTGATTGTGATTAACTCACTTCCCAGCAGGAGAAGTCTGACAGTGGGCCGGCAATCATGAATCCCTGGTCTTACCAAGGTCTCCCCCATCCCACCCCCGCCCCCAAACAGCTGCGGTTACAGCACTTATGAGGCAGTAGTAGCCTGGAGGGCTGGTTGGCTAGAGGCAGCACATGCTTATGGTACGCTTGCTCCCACAACCAGGATTCCCGGGGCCAGGAATCTAGGGGTGGAGAGGGGAATAGTCCCACTCGCTATCACTCCTAGTGACCATTAGGAGGCCATTTAGGAAAGCGAATCAAGCTTGTGCTAGAGGGCTGTGATCACCCCAAAGAAGATGGCAGGAGGGACTCAGTGCCATGCACATTCACACCGCCGTGGTCATCACACCTGCATCAGTCAGGCCCCACAGGCAGGAAGTGCGCAATTGAGGGCTGAAGCCAAGTTCCTGACAGCTTCAGAGACGCTGTGATTTCCCACGTCCCTGGTGCAGCTTGCAACACTCAAGCCTCGGGCTTAGCTACGGATCATTCTAGAATTCCGGCAGAGGCTGAACCTCTGACCACTGAAATCACCCTCAGGGGAAACTCGCCGATTCACGTGTTCTTTGACTTACAGTTTGCTCATTCTTGCTTTCGTTTTACTTATTTATTAAAAACGAACAAAAAAAAAATCATAGCCAGAAAGATGAGCGGGCCCTTGGACCAGAGCTTTCATTTAAAATGGTGGTTTCTGGGCTCTAGGTACTGATAGTAACTGAAAACCTAGGAGGACCTTAGGACTAAGACAGGCTGGGAAGCAGGCTTGCCCATGGGTCACATTTCCTCCCATGTGGATAGCGCATCCCAGCCTCTGTAAGTGTAGCAAGAGTTGCACTGCAGACTCTAACGTATGTCCCCTATTCGCCAAGGGTCCAGGGTCCTTCATTCTTTTCTTTGCTTTACCCTTGCTTGGCTGAAAGTTGGGAGCATGCGGGAGGGAGTCAGTGAACTGGAAGCACGACCGTGTTTTCCACCTTTCACAGGCTTGGAAATAATCTAGGACTGAGAATATTTCTCAACACTGACCAGCTTGTTCAGGTGAACTATTATGGCAAAATCCACAGAAACTAGCCCTACCTATAGTCAAGTTCTGCGATCACCCAAATTTCCTTGACCCTCCTGTCAGCGCCATACCCTGAGCCCCTCTCTGCAGACATAGCTAGCATGTCTTTCTTCCCTGACTCAAGGCATGTTACAGCTCTTCAATACGTAAAGTCCCCTAAGCCTTGGGTCACCTGACCTCCCCTTTGTGCTGCTTCTTTTGAATTCCAGCTGGCCTCACCACAGCCTGGTTTGGAGCAGTCTCTTACAGAAACTTGCCTGTTGCTACTTTGGGGGCAACTCTAGCATTGGGTTCAGCTCTGAAACACCAATTCTTCTTTATATATAAATAACAGGAGGTTCAGGGGGAAAAAAAGAGAAAGAAAAAGGAAAAGAGGAGGAAAAGGAGGAAAAATGGAATAGGATGAGACAGAGGAGGAGGAGGAGAAAAAAATATCTTAATTAGTTCAAGTTATCCAGTCTAATCGGCCCTCTATATCCTCTATGGATATGGCTTTTGCATCTATAGATTCAGATTTCAGACTTAAAATGTTTTTTATAGAAAGCTAAGTACAGTGTTGCACGCCTGTAATCTCATTTCTTCAGGAGGGTGAAGTAGAAGGCGAGCTTGGACCTAGGACTTCATGGCTAGTCTGTGGCCAGGCCTGGTAGCAGAGGGGTGCAATCTTAGCTACGTCTGGGATAGGGGGACTATGGAAAGAATCATACGGTCAAAGCCTGACAGTGATATAGTGAATTCAAGGCTGATCTGGGTAATTTAGTCAGACCGTCTCATTATAGAAACGTTTCAAAAGGGTGGGGGGACAGGGAGCTGTTGGTCAAGTTCACTGTTTGTATGCCTGGCATGTATAAAACCCAGCAATGCATAAACCAGGCCTGGTGGCACAAGACTGTAATCTTACCAAAAAAGACAAAAGACAGAGGAAAGAGGTTACAAGTTCAAGGTCATCCTCAGCTATATAAAGAGGTCAAGGTCAATCTTTTCTCAAAAAATAAGCAGCTACTCCTGGCCCACCTCCACGGTATTGACCATGGTCCCCCTCAGTTCTTCCCGGCAGCTCTGAGGACCTTTTCTCCTAATTCCTCTAGTCCTCTGTGATTCCCCAGCCCTGAAGAACCTCTCTCTACCAGGGTCTCAAAGCTGCCACACTAGGCAGAGACTTAGGAAGGGGACCTTCAAAGGAGGGACCTTCCTGCCCTCCATCCCTGCCTTACTCTTAGTCCTGCTTCAGCCTGTCCACGGGAGCTCCTCCTTCCAGCCTGACCCCATCCCCTACCGACTCCACCTCTTGGGGAACAAAGGGTCTCCCTCATCCCTCCCCACCACCCTCTAAGCCTTCCCTTCCAGTCCATCACCATTTCTTTGTGACTCCTCATTGATCTGCAAAACAGCTTCCTACCAGGGACCCCTTAACCAACAGAGTCAGCTGTGGCCCAAAAACATTCTCTACCAGGAACCCACAGTCATCACACTTGGCTGTCACTCAAGATCCCACAAAGGCCACACCTGGCTAGGACCTAGACTGGGCAATAACAACCAAAGAATGGAACACTTGCCCAATAAAGACAAGACCAAATACATACACTGAGAAACACCTCAAACATTGTAAATCCAGATGCCTATGTCCTACAAGCACACAAGCACAAACAACCAAGACAATATGCCTCTTCCAGAAACTGGCAACCCAATTGTGTTAAGCCCTGGAAAAAACAACTCAGCACAAAACAAGAATTTAAATATGGCAATTATCAATAATAAAAGTTCTAAAGGAGGATATGAATAAAGGCCTTAATAAAGACCACAGCAAGCAGGGCAGTGCTGGCTCACGCCTTTAATCCCAGCACTTGGGAGGCAGAGGCAGGCGGATCTCTGTGAGTTCGAGGACAGGCTGATCTACAAAGTGCGTTCCAGGACAGCTGGGGCTACACAGAAAAACCCTGCCTCAAAAATTGAAACATTTAAAAAAAAAACATGAAAACACAGCTGAATGAAATAATAAAAACAATCCATGACATGAAAACAGAATTTAACAAAGAAACCGAATCGCTAAAGAAAACCCAAACTGATATACAACTGAAAGTGTCAAGCAAAAGCCTTGAAGGTAAGCCTCACCAACAGATTAAAATGCGTGGCAAAGAGAATTTCAGGTCTTGAAGACAAAGCCGAAGAGAGTGGATAGCTCAAAGAAAATGTTAAATCAAAACACAGTCAGGCTCAAAACATTAAAAAAAAAAATCCAGGACACTATGAAAAGACCAAACCTATAAATAATAGGTATAAAGGAGAAGAAATTCAGTTCAAAGTCACAATATATATATATATATATTTATATATATTTGGTTTGGGTTTTTTTTTTTTTTTTCGAGATAGGGTTTTTCTATAACAGCCCTGGCTGTCCTGGAACTCACTCTGTAAGCCAGGCTGGCCTCAAACTCCCGAGTGCTGGGATTAAAAGCATGCATCCCACTCACAGAAAATATTCTTAACAAAATCATGAATGAGAATTTTCCCAATCTAAATTAAGATGTAGCCGCCACAGGAGACAGATGCCGGATGCCAGATGAAACCTTACTGGTAAGCCATAAACACGTGGTGATACACAGATAAATAGAAATGGGTTTATTTAAGATGTACGAGATAGCTAGAAATATGTATAAGCTAATAGGCCAAGCAGTATTATAAATAATTGAGTGTCTGTGTGATTATTTCAGGTCTGGGCAGCCGGAGAAAGAACAAGTGGCCTTCAACTACATTAGGAGGTGTGAGGAGCAAGAAACAGAACAACAAATATCTAGGATCAGATAAGAAATTCCCCACGACACATTATAAACAAAATGCTAAAACTTAGACAGTCAGGGTCCAGCTATCCAGAGGTCCTGCTGCGCCTGCAGCATCTTACGGACGCTAGAGGCTGAATAGCTCTCGAACTCATGGCCTGGAGCAATACCAATCTAGTCCCTACAGGAAAGCTAAGGCCACCTCAGAGGTTACCAGCTCTGTCATTACAGCTCATCACCCCCTCCAGTGGGTCACTTTACCACAGCTGCTACTTTCTTGGTTACTGAAAGGGTGGCTGAAAGATCTGTGTGTATGGACGCTAAGATACACACAAGCCAGAGATCTCTCTATGCCTCACCTGGTAGCCCGCCCAGCCCTACTTCCACCTTTTCTTCCTCCACATCAGCCAGTATTTCTAAGCTCCCAATTCACACCCTGCCCCTCAGGACCTTCTAGAACTGAACCGTCCAGAGCTAACAACCCTGTGGTTCCTCTCCTCTCCAGAAACCCCTCATTTCACCCTGCAGTCCATCCCCAGTCCTTCTCCTCAACCCTCCCAACCTAAAGGTGGCACTTAGAATGGGGGGGGGGGGGACTGGAGAAATGGCTCAGCGGTTCAGCGGTTAAGAGCACTGACTGCCCTTCCAAAGGTCCTGAGTTCAATTCCCAGCAACCGCATGGTGGCTCACAACCATCTGTAATGAGGTCTGGTGCCCCCTTCTGGCCTGCAGACATACAGACAGAATATTGTATACATAATAAATAAATAAATAAATAAATAAATAAATAGATACATTTTTAAAAAATAAATATTTAGAATAGAGGTGGGTAGCATGGGGAGGACATGGAAGAGGAGGCAACTCGGATTGCCCCTGGGAGCCCACACACTCAGATTCTGGGCATTTGATCTTACCATACCTGGAAGGTACCCCAGCCCACAAATGAAACACTCGAGAAAACGCAGTTTACAAGCAGATGTGTGTCACCAGAAAATGTCACTCTTTGCAGTGTTGCCAAGGAGACTGGGTGAGGCATCTGTTCCCTTTTCCATGCTTTGCATTCAGCTGAGGGAAGTGCTGAGGAGACAGAGGCCATGCTCCCACCAGTACACTAGGGTGCCTCACATCCTCTGCCTGGGTAGGGACCTTTACATGGTGCACATGTGGGAATGTTGGTCTTATCCTGGAGGGCTAACCCAGCTGCCTATCCTAAAATCCTGTACACTGAGCAAAACAACACGTCCTGGTCCTGGTTCTGAGTAGCACGGCTGGGAAGGCCCACACTGGTCTGGTCTTGTAGCTCAAAGTTGCCTGACCTTGAGGGGACAATGGCAATTCCCAGTAGGAGAGGGCATATCAGCATCAAACCCAGACATGCCACAGTAAAAACACCTGTGAAAGGAGAAAGCACGCAGCAAGAAAGTCAGAGTGAGGCATGGGGGCAGGGAGGCAGGCACAGGACAGCTGGGCCTTAGAGTAGAGCCGGAGAGGCTGCAGGCCTGAAGAAAAGAATGGCCTTGTTTCTGCTCCTGCCAAAGAAAGGAGGGCCAGAGAGATACAGGTTGAGCAGAAAAAGGGCGGGTCAGTGAGCATGTGTGGGTCCCCTGACCTGACTGTCCCACTGGGCCAGGTCAGCACATGGCCCCATTTGGATGCCTTCCATGTTCTTCCTGTGCTTTCAGGCAGGGATACAGCATTGGATCTCCATCCACTTGCCTGGGAAGACAAGGTGTATTTCAGAGTGCTCCAACAACCAAAGAGAACAGATGCACCAGATAGGATGTGTAGGTGCAAGAACCTGTGATCCCTCTGTTACATTCTGGCTACCACTATCTGCTTATTCACCAACCCAGACATGACCTGAAGGGCAGGGATGCCTTTCATGCCTGAGCAACGGGTTCATCTTTCTATCAGATTTCTACTCTGTGCCCCAAGGCAGTCGGATGGCTCCAGTCCTGCAACCCAAATAATCCCCAGATGGGAGGTGTGCAGCCCTGGCCTGAGATGAAGGGGAGCTAGGCCTAGGTCTGGGAAGGATAAATTAGGAATTGTCTGCCCTGTGCTTCCCTGAGGCTGTGACTGTCAGGTAGATGGAGACCAAAGCCACACTTATTCCAGTACCTGTGGAATGGAGGCATGATGAAGAGGTGGGAAGGAGTCAGACAGAAGGACCCTCGCCTGCTTGGACCAGTCTGTGATCCAGCAGTGTGATCCCAACGGTAGAGCCAGCTAAGGTCCCTGGAAGTTGAATTGGTTTGAAGACCCTGGGAGGAAACCCATAGACAGGCTGATCCATTCAGAGCCAAGCCAGCCTGTGGTTCTTCACCCCTCCCCCATCACTGCCACCCTCCACCGGAAGTACCAGGCCCACTTCTAACCTCGGGTCTCTGATGTGGACAGAGATATGGCTACCGAGTCCTGGGGATCGCTCGCCAGCCGTTGTCCAGCACACATGGACTTCAGTATCTGGAAGACGGCCAGGGGAGCCACGTTCAGATTCAGCAAGTCCACCAGGATCCTGGGGAGACAAATGTGGTGCTTAGCGAAACCTGAGAGCCTCAGAGCATTCCAGTTCCATGTGTCGGGCCAGCTGGGCCACCTCCATGGAAACGCGTACAGAGACCTGGAGTTTTCAGAGTAGCGGATCGGGGCTGGAGGGGTCCTGAAGCAGGCTTATCTGCAGGGAGTGTGAGCTCGATACCCTGACCCTTGCCTTCTCACTTGAAAACATCCGGGTCGATGACGGTGCCAGCAGCCTGTGCAAGTTCGTACAGCTCCATTTCCTCAGTTTCCAGCGCTTTCTTCCGCCGAAGCGACAACTTTTGCAGCGTCGCCGCCTCCAGTCCTGTGGATGTGCCCAGTCCGGCACCACCACCCGCTGCCGCCATCAGCGCAGCCTGGAAAAAAAAGGTGAGCGTTGGGCTCAGGCCGCCAGGAGATTCCACAGCGCCTCCTACTGGCCACCCGTTTCCATGCAGGGTCCCCGCCGATGCCAGGCTCCAGCATGGAGGGCGCGCGGGGGGTGGGGGGAGTAGGGTCGGGAGAAATCTTTTCATAGTTGATTGTTTGACTTATACTGAGTGCCTAGTGTGCACGGGGCAATGTCTTAGGCATGGGGATGGTACGGTGGAAAGCAACACCCAGAACCGTGCCTGGCAAATACTGGATCTTGGTAAATGCCTGTTAGATCACGGGTATTCATAATTGCATGTAATTATCTCTTCTGCCAAGGGTCCCTAAACAGCTTTTGCTTTTAAGCAGCACACACATTCTCACTGGAATACATAAATTTAGGCGTAAGAGGGCGCTGACGCCATCACTGCGCACGCGCCTTTGTGGCCAACCGCTGCTCTCCATACACTCAGAGGCGTTTGGCTGTGCGCATGCTCCTTTCCCTGGTTGGGAGGCGGTTTTTCAGAGAGGCCAGAGGCGTGTCTTAATGACGCATTCCCTCCCATACTGTGTGGCTGATAGTGGCTTCGGGTTCTGAAGATAGGTGAACCCACACAAAGATCAGAGATGAACTCAACAAGTCAGTTTGACCTGTGTGATGAAAATGCAAATGTTTGACCGGCCACCGTGAAACAAGCGTCACTGCCATCCGTGCAGCGTGGATCTGAGGAACCAGTCCAGGAGTGCCCGCACAGAGGGAAGGGGACCAGGAGGGGCATTTAAGATTTGTGCCCTGACATCTGGGAGATGTCAGATCTCATAATACTTTGGACATTTTTAAAGGTCTTTTGCTTATATATTATGGTTTCCGTTTATGTGTCTTCATGGGTTTTGTGTCTGTGTTTGCGTGTGTGTATCTTGTGCTCTATCCTTGTTTTTTCTCTGTGTTTTATTATTTTGGCTTTTTTTTTTCAGTGTGCCTGCTAGAGGGAGAGAAAAGTGTTGGGTTGAGTAGGTAGGGAAGTGGAGAGGATCAGGGAGGAGATGAGGAAGGAGAAACCAGGATCAGATTATAGGGTATAAAATTATTTTCAGTAAAAATAGATATATGGGATGAATAGTCTCCATTCTTAGAAAACATTGTCCATTGCTGAGAGTTTAGAGCATCTATTCAGTACTCAGTCTGTCTTCCTTCTTCCCTGCACTGGGCACGGATATCCTGGATCTGCTGGTCCTCATTGCTTCACACCACCTAAACTTTGTGATCCTCTGGCCAGTCACCAATGTCCAGACCTCAGGACTAAACCCTGGGGTAGATTTGCAGTCCTGGCCCTCCAGGATGAAGATGTAGCTTTCCATGTTGAATGTGGCATCTGTCACAAATGAGGATCATGGTGACAGGAAGCTGCTGGTGACTGTGAAGAGCCAGTGCTGGCTGTAGGGAATGAGTTTGGCTCCAGGAAGAGACATTACAGGATGAATGTGCATCTAGTCCAGCACCTGCTTCCCAGGGTGGAACATCCAGATGCTTGCTTGCAGAATTCCATAACATTTCCTCAGGATTTTTGCAGAGCTATGGCCATGATGTACCTGTAGGTCCTGCCTCTTCAATTTCTCATGGGGTTGATGGGCTCACATGGGTGGAGTTGGTGGCTCCAGGATCCAGCTCCTATTGCTCAAAGCCCCCAATACTACTAACAGGAGACAAATCCCGATGTTTTGCAGCACTATCCTAGCATAAGAGCTGTTATCTCTATGAGATCAGCTCTGGCTGTTTGTAAGCGTGTATCTCCTCAGCCCACAGACGGCTCTAATCCTTCATAGAAGGAAGGGCAAGGTAGGGTCATTGGTCCCTCACTTAGTCGCTGCACCTGGCCCTTTGCTTACAGTTCTGCCCTAATCATGCATGGCCTCAACTCCAGGCAATGCCAGAGCACTAGTGCCTTAGTTAAGGTTTCTGTTACTGCAAGGAAACACCATGACCATGAAGCAACTTGGGGAAGAAAGGGTTAATTTGAGTTACAGTTCAACATCACTGTTCATCACTTAAGGAAGTCAGGACAGAAACTGGAGCAGGTTAGGATCCCAGAGGCAGGAGCTGCTGCAGAGGCCATGGAAGGGTGCTGCTGCTTACTGGCTTCTCATGGTTTGCTCAGTCCTTTTTTTTTTTTTTTTTTTTTTTTCCAAGACAGTGTTTCTTTGTAGCTTTTTGGAGCCTCTGTCCTGGAACTCACTCTGTAGACCAGGCTGACCTCGAACTCATAGAGATCCCCCTGCCTCTGCCTCACAAATGCGGGATTAAAGGTGTTCACCACTACTGCCCAGTGAACCCTCCTTATACTTACAGTAGTACCCAGGACCCTGGGCTGGACCCTCCCACATTGATCGCTAAATGAGAAAATATCTTAGAGCTGGATTTCATGCAGGCATTCATTCCCTCAATGGAGGCCCCTTCCTCTGATGACTCTAACTTGTGTCAAGTTGGCACACAAAACAACCCAGCTGTATTGTACAGGCTGAGGGAGGGGAATTGAGGGCTCTTGTGCTAATGCACATTTAGACACTCAAACATTTCCATACTCCCTCACACACATTATCATGCTCGCACATAATCACACACATAATCTCAACACACACACATGTACATTGTATTGGTTAGTGTTTTGTCAACATGACACACGATAGAATCATTTGGGAAGAGAGAACATCAGTTGAAAAAATGTCCCCTTCGGACTGACCAATGGGCAAACCTATGTTCCATTTTTTCTTTTTTTTTTCTTTTTTCTTTTGATGATTGATATTGAAGTGCCCAGCTGACTATGGGCAGGGTGGTGCCAAACCTGGACAGTTGGTCCTGGATGGAATAATAGAGCAGGCTGAGCAAGCCATGGGAAACAGCCAGTAAGCAGCACTTCTCCATGGCCTATGAATCAGTTCCTGCCTCTGTGTTCCTGCCTGAGTCCAACCCCTGTCTTCCCCAGATGATGGAGCATAACTTACAAGTTAAAGTAAACCCTTTCCTCCCCAAGTTGATTTTGGTCATGGATTTTATCACAGGGATGGGAACCTTAGCTAAGACACATGTCTTTCCACATTCTTTCAGCCTTAGAAATACACACTGTTCTACTCCAGAATCCTCACATATACTTACACTGTCTTGTACACTCAGGATTATTTTCATGCTGCATGCTCACACTGTCGAATGCTCACACACCCGCATACTTAAGTGAACACAGTGTTAAACACAGAGTCTCACACCGAAATGCTCAAAGATGTAAACATGGTTGTCTGTATACACAATCACACAGTTCATATCTTTACACATTCTTCATACATCCTTGCACATACTTACATACTCTGTGCTGGTTAGTTTTTGTCAGCTTAATGCAAACCTAGACATTAACCGAGAAGATGAAATCTCAATTGAGGAACTGTCTCTGTCAGTTTGGCCTATGGTCATATCTGTGTGACATTCCTAATTATTGTCAGTGAAGGAGGACCCAATCCACTGTGGGTGGTGCGATTCTTTTTATTATTATTATTCATTTTATATTCCAACCACAGTTCTCTCTCCCACCCCTCCCTTGTCTCCCCCCAGCCCACTCCTCATCCACTCCTCCCAAAGGGTAAAGCCTCCTGTGGGGAGTTGACAAAGTCTGGCACATTAAGTTGAGGCAGGACCAAGCCTCCTGCCTGCATCAAGGCTGAGCACAGCATCTCACCATAGGGAATGGGCTCCAAAAGGGTATCTCGTGCACCAGGGATAGATCCTGGTCCCACTGCCAGGGGACTCTCAATTAGACCAAGCTACACAACTGTCTCCCACATGTAGAGGACCTAGTTTAGTCCCATGCAGGCTCCACAGCTGTCCGTCTAGAGTATGTGAGTTCCCACAAGCTTGGTTCACTTGTCTCTGTGGGTTTCCCCGTCATACTCTTGACCTCCCTCTCTTCGATTGGATTCCTGGAGTGTGGCCTGGTGCCTGGTGCTTGCCTGTGGATCTCTGCATCTGGTTCCATCAGTTACTGGATGAAGGCTCTATGGTGACAATTAGGGTAGTCACCAATATGAATACAGGAGAAGGGCAGTTCAGGTGCCCTCTACACTATTGCTTGGTGTCTTAGCTAGGGTCATCCTTGTAGATATTTGGGGATTTCCCTAGCACCAGGTTTCTCCCTAGTTCCATAATGGCTCCCTCTGTCAAAACATCTCTTTTATTGCTCTCCCATTAGTCTCTCCCCCAACTCAACCATCCCATTCCCTCATGTTCTCATCTCCCACCTCCCACTCCCCCTCCCCCCCCCCCCCCCCCCCCCTTACCCCGGAGATCTCAACTAAATTGCCTTCCCAGGGCTATCCATGCATCTCTCTTAGGGTCCTCCTTGTTACCGAGCTTCCCTGGGGCTGTGGATTATAGTCTAGTTATTCTTACATCTAGTATCCACTAATGAGTGAGTACATACCATGTTTGTCTTTCTGAGTCTGGGTTATTTTTTTTTCCTAATTCTATCCATTTGCCTACAAATTTCATGATGTCACTGTTTTTTGTTTGTTTGCTGAGTACTTCATTGTGTAAATGTACCATTTTTTTATCCATTCTTTAATTGAGGGGCATCTCAGCTGTTTCCAGGTTCTGGCTATTATGAATAATGCTGCTATGAATATGGTTGTATATATACAAAAGTGGTATTGCTGGGCCTTAAGTTAGATTGATTCCAAACGTTCTTAGAAGTCACCATACTGATTTCCAAAGTGGCTGTATAAGTTTGCACTCCCACCAGTAGTGGTGGAGTGTTCCTCTTACTCCACATCAAACATAAGTCTGCTTTTGGGACTGGGGAATCTGCTGAATGCTCAAAACATAATGGGCCGTTTTAGTTGTGTTTTAGAAGAAAGAATTCTGGAAGAAATGCAGACAGTGGAAGCCTGTCTTGTGAGATTTCAAAAGGGAACAAGAACTGTAGCAGGAACTGAATTAGAAACTATTGCTGTCACGTTTTGCCTAAGAATCTGTGTGTGCTGGTTCTGCT